GTGGCGAAACGAAGCAACTTTGGATATTGATAACTTAACTTAAATCGACCTATTTTGAGCCAAGGAATCTGTGGTCTTCCGTTGTACACGCATTTCGGAGACACGCTGTATACAGTGTGGCCCATTTGAAAGCAGAGCACCCTCGTAAAATCTGTATTTATTACCCGATTTCGACAATTTTTTTTTTGAATTGTAGAGCGTAAGAAACTGTACTTTAGGTCAAAGAGTCATATTTTTTTTTTTAAACCAAGGCCTACTATTTCACTTTTTGGTGCAAAAAATGAAGAAATCATATTAGGAAATTTTTTAGAAAAAATCTGAGTACACCACTGCATTAAGCGCCGTTTGAAATGGACATATACCAAATTTCATCAAAAATAGTTACAAATTAACACCGTTCAGATAATTGAAAAATATAATTTTTTATCAATTAATTTCATCTGTAACAAATGTAAATAGTTTTTGTGTTATTGTTTGTGTTTTGTTAACTTTTTTGTCATGGTTTACTAGATCAAATCAAATAAATTCATAAAAAATGATATTTTCAATTATCTACAACGGTTTTAAAAAGTGAAATAGTAGGCCTTGGCTTTTCTGAGAAAAACATGACTCTTTGTCCGAAGGTACAGTTTTTTATGGTATACAATTCAAAAAAAAAATTGTCGAAATCAGATAATAAATACAAATTTTACGAGGGTGCTCCGCTTTCAAATGGGTCCACTTTCTAAAAAAATCGTTTTGTCCAACATAAAATGAAGTAGTAATGAGTTATATACCATGTCAGAGAGAATACTTTAAGCTTTAATTTAATATAAAAATCACAGCCTTATCTTCAAATTTACGTCTAGAACGATTAATTAAAGTTAACAATTTTTTTAGATAACTCTGGTTGTAATCAAAATTTCAACATTTTCTAAAAAAAATGCTTTGGTCCAACTTTAAGATGAAATGATAATGAGTTATACATCATTTTAAAGAGAATACTTCAAGCTTTAATTTCATATAGAAATCACATCTTTATCTTCAAATTTACGTCTAGTACGATTAATTAAAGTTAACAATTTTTGTATATAAATCAGGTTGTAATCAAAATTCCACATTCTCTAAAAAAATTGTATGGTCCAATTTAAAATGAAGTAGTAATGAGTTATATACCATTTGAAAGAGAATACTTTAAGCTTTAATTTGATATAAAAATCACATCCTTATCTTCAAATTTATGGCTAGTACAATTAATTAAAGTTAACAATTTTTTTATATAAATCAGGTTGTAATCAAAATTTTAACATTTTCTAAAAAAATCGTTTTGATCCAACTTTAAAATGAAAATATAATGAGTTATATATCATTTTAAAGAGAATACTTCAAGCTTTAATGTCATATGGAAATTGCATTCCTATCTTCAAATTTACGCCCAGTACGATTAATTAAAGTTAACAATTTTTTTAAATAAATCAGGTTGTAATCAAAATTTCAACATTTTCTAAAAAAATTGCTTTGGCCCAACTTTAAGATGAAATGATAATGAGTTATATAATATATCATTTTAAAGAGAATACTTTAAGCTTTAATTTCATATAAAAATCGCATTCTTATCTTCAAATTTACGCCCAGTACGATTTTTTAAAGTTAACCATTTTTTTATATAAATCAGGTTGTAATCAAAATTCCATCATTTTCTAAAAAAATCGGTTTGATCCAATTTAAAATGAAGTAGTAATGAGTTATATAGCATTTGAGAGAGAATACTTTAAGCTTTAATTTGATATAAAAATCACATCCTTATCTTCAAATTTATGGCTAGTACGATTAATTAAAGTTAACAATTTTTTTAGATAAATCAGGTTGTAATCAAAATTTCAACATTTTCTAAAAAAATCGTTTTGATCCAACTTTAAAATGAAACGATAATGAGTTATATATCATTTTAAAGAGAATGCTTTAAACTTTAATTTGATATAAAAATCCTTATCTTCAAATTTACGCCTAGTACGATTAATTAAAGTTAAATTTTTTTTATATAAATCAGGTTGTAATCAAAATTCCAACGTTCTCTAAAAAAATTGTTTTGGTCCAATTTAAAATGAAGTAGTAATGAGTTATATACCATTTGGGAGAGAATGCTTTAAACTTTAATTTGATATAAAAATCACATCCTTATCTTCAAATTAACGCCTAGTACGATTAATTAAAGTTAAGAATTTTTTTATATAAATAAGGTTGTAATCAAAATTCCAACATTTTCTAAAAAAATCGTTTTGGTCCAATTTAAAATGAAATGATAATGAGTTATATATCATTTTAAAGAGAATACTTCAAGCTTTAATTTCATATAAAAATCATTTTCTTATCTTCAAATTTACGCCCAGTACGATTTTTTAAAGTTAACCATTTTTTTATATAAATCAGGTTGTAATCAAAATTTCGACATTTTAAAAAAAATTGTTTTTATCCAACTTTAAAACGAAAAGATAATGAGTTATATATCATATTAAAGAGAATACTTTATGCTTTAATTTGATATAAAAATCATATTCTTATCTTCAAATTTACAGCTAGTACGATTATTTAAAATTAACAATTTTTTTATATACAGGGATGTCCCGAAATTCAACGTCAAGCGGGCACCGTTCTCTAAAAAAATTGTTTTGGTCCAATTTAAAATGAAGTAGTAATGAGTTATATACCATTTGGGAGAGAATGCTTTAAACTTTAATTTGATATAAAAATCACATCCTTATCTTCAAATTAACGCCTAGTACGATTAATTAAAGTTAAGAATTTTTTTATATAAATAAGGTTGTAATCAAAATTCCAACATTTTCTAAAAAAATCGTTTTGGTCCAATTTAAAATGAAATGATAATGAGTTATATATCATTTTAAAGAGAATACTTCAAGCTTTAATTTCATATAAAAATCATTTTCTTATCTTCAAATTTACGCCCAGTACGATTTTTTAAAGTTAACCATTTTTTTATATAAATCAGGTTGTAATCAAAATTTCGACATTTTAAAAAAAATTGTTTTTATCCAACTTTAAAACGAAAAGATAATGAGTTATATATCATATTAAAGAGAATACTTTATGCTTTAATTTGATATAAAAATCATATTCTTATCTTCAAATTTACAGCTAGTACGATTATTTAAAATTAACAATTTTTTTATATACAGGGATGTCCCGAAATTCAACGTCAAGCGGGCACCGGGTGACAGGCCAACCCATGCCCGCGTTTTTTGCAGAAAAACAGGCATTCATATTTTTTAGGACAAGAAAGATGGCAAGTGTTATACCATTTTGAAATTTTGACTAAACAGGCCATCTTTTAAAATAACTTGCCAAGGGTGTTGTACTACTCCTTTGTTTAGAAATCGTGTGTCAAACTTAATAGACATAAATTCTTTCAACCTTAACTCAATCAAACTAATACTTTTTTTGCAAAACTAACGACTTTTGTTCTTCGAACATTTCTGACCATAGTACCTAAAGATTTTTTTCTTATTTTTACCAGAACAGGTATGGGTTGGCCTCTCCCCGGAGCCCGCTTGACGTTGAGTTTCGGGACAGCCTGTATATTCGTTATAATTGAAATTTCAACATTTTATCGTTTTGGACCAACTTAAAATGAAGCACTAATGATGGTGTATAACACCATTTTAGAGAGAATACTTTAAGCTTTAATTTGATATAAAAATTACCTCCTTATCTTCAAATTTACGCCTAAGTACGATTAATTAAAGTTAACATTTTTTTATACATAGAAATCAGGTTGTAATCAAAATTTCAACATTTTCTAAAAAAGTTGTTTTGATCTAACTTTAAAATGAAAAGATAATGACTTATATATCATTTTAAAGAGAAAACTTTAAGGTTTAATCACATTCGTATTTCGTTAAACAATTTTTTTATATAAACCAATATTGTTTTGCTTACATTTAAAATGAAAGGATAATATAATTTAGGTTTTTCTTGATGACGAACCACAAGATTAGGTAATATTCGTTTATTTTCGGTTCTTGTATCATAAAAACCGGAGGTCTACTGTAATTTAATAATGCAATCAGAGGTCTGTTGGCGTGACCACCGCTCGTTTGGTGCTTCTCTCTGAAAATTATTATAAACGGTAGTTTTGCCGTCAGTTTAAAAGCCCTGAAGCCACGAAATGCAGTCCGCCCTTTTTCTTGTCAGTCGAGTTCCCACAGCAGCTTTGTGTGCTATAAAATTAAAAAATTGAGTATGTTTTTAGGTCAAACCATAAATATTAACATCAACACTATTCTTAATTAAATTATTCATCGTGTATATATGCGCATTGTGTATGGATATTGCAAATAGTAAATTCATAGTTGTGGGTGGCAACACAATCGTAATTTCGCAGAAAGCCCGTCGATTCATTCGAACAACGTTAAAAGCTCATGCGACAAGAGAACGAATCGAGGTTCTCGCTTCTTTGTTAATGCTGTCATGGTGAAGTAGACAAAGTGTATTACCGGTACTACATCGAACATTCGAGACTGGATAACTATATTATTCAGGAGGAATCTAAAAGCTGTGGCTTATGGTAATCGGTTGTGGTGGAAGTTTTTTAACAACCGGTCATTACGTAAATTGACGTTGACGCGATCGTTAATTTCTTCCACGAGGTTCTCACCTCTTGTGGGAGAAACTCGTTTTCCCAACAGCTTTCACTTCAGTTCCGATCCAAAAAAGAAAAATTTAAAAAAAAAGGAAAATCAAAAAAAAATTATTTTACACCTAATCCTTCATCATATTCATCTTTTATTCAGCACAGGAACCATCGATAATCCAAGAAGGCGTTCACCCACTCTTTGTTGGTCATTTAAAACGCTTCTTCCGGCAGCAAGTAAGGTAATATGTGTGAGAGAGAGCACGAAACAACAACAACCGTTCCTCTTTCAGTGGCTAAGGAGGCAGTCTTCGACGGTTTCCTCAGGGACAGACTTTAGTCACCACAGTGCTTCTTCAGATCCCGCAGAGAGCGGTATTCTGAACCAAACAATTTATCCCCATAGTCTGGTCAACACGTGTTTACCAAATTTATAACTTGTAACATTTAATTTGAATACTCAAAAATTTTCATAAAATAATTCTAAAAATTGTGTGCTGTTTTTGTTTGGTGAATTATCGGACTTAGATGAGGTTGTTTTTAATCTAAACGATCGCAAATCGCTCAGCGTAACGAACCGTGAAGAAACTCTTAACAGTAATTTGTGTAGTTCGTGGCGAAGGATGGTTTAGAAAGGGAAAATTGAAATTAAATTGTTCGGTAAGAGTTAGCTTATTCCATTTTTTAATTTAACACTTAAAAGGAAACGAATGAATTTAAAGAAAACACCTGCTTTTTCAACATCCGGTGTTTATATTTCTCACCACCAAAGACGCCGAGTTTCTTGAAGGCGTTAAAAGCGACAATTCCGCTTTAAACCGCAAAGTTTCAAAAAAAAATCTCACCACAATACACCATTTCGTTTCGTTGTCATGGTCCTAATCCATTTTATCATTCTCAGACAATACTCGACGAATTTTGCAGGCGTTTCTCCGCCTTCAGCGAAAGATCTTTTGAATTCGTCGGGTCTTTCGTAGAAAGTATAATCTCTTTGTTCTCTGACGAAATAACTCAAGGTTGCCCGCGTATATTGGTTGGCAGATAATTGAAGCTGTCCACCAATTATATCTACAAATTATAGCACGAAGGCATTTCAACGGAAAATTGGTTTAAAACTGTCTCAAAGAGTAGTATAATTAAAATTGAATGTCAAAATGCTTGTATGATATAAAGCATATAAAATAGCTTCGTGATGTTACCTTTATCCTTGAAATAAATTTGCTTTGCTTTCGAATGTAACACAAAACGGAAATTCTAAGATTCCAAGATATTTTTAAAGAAGTTCAATCAATACTTGAACATATTAAAGGTTTCTAGGAACGACATTTTCCAAGAAACAAGACTGAGAGATAAAGTTTTTCTCTAAGTTGCACACTTTGTGTGGATTAAGAACCCGCGCTTTCATAAAACTTAATTAAATTTTAAAAGCTTTATCTTTTGTCAAAACTGACGTTATCATATATTCTTTAAAAGCATTCTCTTTTAGCTTATTAAGTCTGCATTACCTTCATAAAAGAAGGAAATCTAATCCAGGATAAAGCGATATGATAAAATGCAATTTTAATTTTTCGCGGCAATTAATTAAATGGTTCTTTCTCTCTCGATTAGAAACTAAAGTTCTCACAGAAAGTAAACAATAAGTTGCGTTCTCCAGCTACTTATTGTTGCTACAACTTCCTTGCACAATCCGGCCTTTGAATGAACCGCTCTCACCTAAGGTACTAATTTAACTTTATTACTGTAAAATTGTATATTTATGGATAATGAGATTGAAGGAATTAATAATTAAACAAACACTTTCAAAACTTTCTAGATAATTATTTAATTATAATTGTATTAATAAGCAAAATGGGTTAAAAGATAAAGATGGATTTTATATTTATTTATAAATTATGTATAAAAAAATGTATAATGAGTTATATATCATTTTAAAGAGGATACTTTAAGCTTTAATTTGATATGAAAATCATCTTCTTATCTTCAAATTTACGCCCAGTGCGATTTCTTAAAGTTAACAATTTTTTTATATACAGTGTGTCCGTAAAGTAACGCATATAGGCGATAAAATCATTATAAACGGTTTATGGAAAAATCTCTTCCGCCATTTTTAAGCGAGTTATGACGTCATCGGTATTTTTTTCAAATGGCAATCCCCCATTTTTATTACGGGATATGAAAGAAGATTTTTTTCTGAATTCAGAAAATTTTCGGGAAAAAGTTTAACTACTTCAGATTTGTTGATATGATGAAAATAGCAGTAGCCATGAGTAACTATGGTAACCAATTATTTTAAACAATTTCCTAAGTGTCAAAAACTGATTTAGTAAGTAGTTGACCTCTTTAATACAACATATCCTGATCGCCAACTCATTAGCCAAAGTATGGTGAGCCTAGCTGTGACTAAATTTAAACTTGGCCATCTCTCGAAGCATTTGCAACAACAACTTTGCAACGATGACGAAGACATTGTCAAAAACATAATTTTTTCGAGGAAGGGACATTTACATTGAATGGACAAGTAAATAGACAAAGTTGTCGGTATTGTGCTACCCAAAATCCAAATTAGCCAAGAAAGTCGCACACCCAATATCGGCAAAAGATTTTAGGAAACCTTAAGTGGAAAGAGATTCCAACGGCAGTTATTCCAACAAGATGGCGCGCCACCACACGTCAAGAAGCTTTACTAAATCAGTTTTTGACACTCAGGGAATTGTTTAGAATAATTGGTTACCATAGTTACTCATGGCTACTGCTATTTTTATCATTATACAAATTTGAAGTAATTAAACTTTAAAGTAATTTTTTTCGAAAATTTTCTTATGTAACCAATATTAATATTGACTGTACTAGATTCAGAAAAAAATCCTCTTTCATATTCCGCAATAAAAATGGGGGATTGCCATTTAAAAAAAATAGCGATGACGCCATAACTCGTTTAAAAATTGGGGAAAAATTTAAATCTTTAGACCCGTTTCAGGAATTTTTTCATAAACCGTTTATTATGATTTTATCGCCTATATCCGTTATTTTACGGACACACTGTATGTATATTCGTTGTAATTGAAATTTCAATATTTTTTTTAAAAAAATGTTTTGGTCCAACTTTAAAATGAAGTAGTAATGAGTTATATACCATTTTAAAGAGGATACTTTACGCTTTAATTTGATATAAAAATTACATTCTTATCTTCAAATATATACCCAGTACGATTTTTTAAAGTTAACAAATTTTTTATATAAATCAGGTTGTAATCAAAATTTCAATAATTTCTAAAAATATTGTTTTATTCCAACTTTAAAATGAAGTAATAATGAGTTTCATACCATTTTAAACAGGATACTGTAAGCTTTAATTTGATATAAAAGTCGTATTCTTATCTTCAAATCTACGTCTAGTACGTTTTTTTACAGTTAACATTTTTTTTTATATAAATCAGGTTGTAATCAAAATTTCAACAATTTCTAAAAAAAATGTTTTGGTTTCAACTTTAAAATGAAAAGATAATGAGTTATATATCATTTTAAGGAGGATACTTTAATCTTTAATTTGATATAAAAATCACATCCTTATCTTCAAATTTACGTCTAGTACGATTATTTAAAGTTAACAATTTTTTTATATACAGGGTGTATCTGAATGACTGCAACAAACTTCAAGGGTGATTCTTTAGTGAATTTTAAGGGTACTTTCATATATGAACCATGGGCGACTTCGGCTCCCCTAAGGAGCTACACCCCTCCAAAAATGGCGGAAAATTTTGGTTTAATTTCTTTTTCTCAAAAACCATAAACGCTAGGAAAATGAAATTTGGGGAATATGTTTAACTCATAATAGGGCACGTTTTGACCCTATTTGTACTTTCAACCTACCCTTCTAAACTACTAAACGTAACCACCCCCGTTCAATTTATGCCTAGATTTTTTTTATGAAGATGATAAATACATTGGAAAAATTTCAGTTAGATAGATAAAACTATTCTAAAACTTTTTTGTCTCTCTGATGTTCTTCGAAAATTTAATAATTTCTGAGAAAAAAAATAATTAAGCAAACACTAACTGTTAAGCTGTAGGGTTGTTAATCGAAAGTTGGAATGAATTTTTAATGAAAAAATCTTAGTAGGCTTTGCAATCTTTGTCAGAAATATTTTTGACGTTTAAATATCAGTGGTTTTCTTACTTTATTATTGTTTTATTTAAAATTTTGAAACGTCGAGTGAACGAGCGTAAATGCGATAGAACTTTATTCAAAAATTAATTTGAAAAACAATAATAATAGTAAGAAAAACATTGACATTTAAACGTCAAAAATATTTCTGATAAAGATTGGAAAGCCCACTAAGATTTTTTCATTAAAAATTCATTCCAACTTTTGATCGACAACCCCGTTGTTTAACGGGCAGTGTTTGCTTTATTATTTTTTTTCTCAAAAATTAGTCGTTTTTGAGAAAATTTTAGAGAGACAAAAAAGTTTTAGGATACTTTCATCTAGCTATGTAAAATTTTTCTAATGTATTTATCATCTGCATACAAAAAATTTTAGCAAAAATGTAAAGGGAGTGGTTACATTTAGTAGTTTAGAAGGGTAAGATGAAAGTACAAATAGGGTCAAAACGTGCCCTATTATGAGTGAAACATATTCCCCAAATTTCATTTTCCTAGCGTTTATGGTTTTTGAGAAAAAAAAATTAAACCAAAATTTTCCGGCATTTTTGGAGGGGCGTAGCTCCCCAGGGGGGCCGAAGTCGCCCATGGTGCATATATGAAAGTACCCTTAAAATTCACTAAAGAATCACCCTTCGAAGTTTGTTGCAGTCATTCAGATACACCCTATATATTCGTTATAATTGAAATATCAACATTTTATAAAAAAATCGTTTTGATCCAATTTAAAATGAAGTAGTAATGAGTTATATACCATTTGAAAGAGAATACTTTAAACTTTAATTTGATATAAAAATCACATCCTTATCTTCAAATTTATGGCTAGTACGATTAATTAAAGTTATCAATTTTTTTAGATAAATCAGATTGTAATCAAAATTCAAACATTTTCTAAAAAAATCGTTTTGATTCAACCTTAAAATGAAGTAGTAATGAGTTATATACCATTTTAAAGAAGATACTTTAAGCTTTAATTTGATATAAAACTCACATTCTTATCTTCAAATCTACGCCCAGTACGATTTTTTAAAGTTAACATTTTTTTTATATAAATCAGGTTGTAATCAAAATTTCAACATTTTCTAAAAAAAATGTTTTGGTCAAACTTTAAAATGAAAAGATAATGAGTTATATATCATTTTAAAGAGGATACTTTAATCTTTAATTTGATATAAAAATCACATCTTTATCTTCAAATTTACGCCTAGTACGATTATTTAAAGTTAACAATTTTTTTATATATATTTGTTATAATTAAAATTTCAACATTTTCTAAAAAAATCGTTTTGGTCCAACTTAAAATGAAGTAGTAATGAGTTATATACCATTTTAAAGGGGATACTTTAAGCTTTAATTTGATATAAAAATCATGTATTTGTCTTCAAATTTAGGTTCAGTACGATTATTTAAAGTTAACTATTTTTTTATATCTATCGTTGTAATTGAAATTACAACATTTTCTAAAAAAATCGTTTTGGTCTAACTTAAAATGAAGTAGT